GACACTGGACCAACAAGGCGTATCGAATTTCTCCGGTGCCTTCTTCTACATCGTAACGGAGCAAGTATACGGAGCTTCCATGCCAGCCATCATGTCCGTGCCAATGGAGCTCCCTATCGTATACCGTGAGTACGATATCGGTCTCTACTCCGTTGCATCGTGGTATGCGGCAAAGAACCTGTGTGAGCTGCCTCAGCAGGTTATTCTCCCTATTATCAGCCTGTTGCCGCTGTATTTCTTAGTGGGAATTGGCCACGACTTCAGCATGTACATCCAGATGCAACTCGTGCTGATACTGCTGCACAGCTCGTGTGTGGCCTTCGGTTACTGCATTTCGTGCGTCTGTCGACGTATCGACATCGCCCCACTCGCAGGGAACATCGTGCTGATGCCTCTTCTGTTACTTGGTGGTCTCTTCATCGACCCGAGTGACGTGCCTGGTGTGCTGCGCTGGGTTCAGTACATCACGCCTTTCCGGTATGGTTACTACGGCCTCATGCGCGTATTCTGGCGACAAGTTGACGAGATCTCGTGCGACGACGTTGCTGGAGCGTCCTGTGCTGCCACTACGGGGCTCGAGGTGCTCGCGAACAAGGGCATTTCCAACAGATCCGTTGCTTCAGACTTGCTGCTGCTCTTGGCATTGAGTGTTGGATTCCGAGTCATCGGTTATGTTGCGCTAGCAATAAATGTAGGGAAGCGAAAATAAACTGGAACATGCTATTTTATTTTTCTTACCAAGCTCTAGTTTTTAGAAACTCAGAATTCTAATTCTGATTCCATCCATCCAGAGCGATTAAAAACCATCCGTTTTTTTTCGCGATAAGACGGCGAAAAATATCGAAACTGATTGGTAAAAAATAGATGTTGCAGTCCGGTGGTATGCACTTACGAATTCCCCTCTAGCCTCGCACCACCAGCACGAAATGGTTCGACTATTGCCAGCAGTTCCAGTGCTTTCGCTGCTGTCATCGTCGATGATCATCGCTCCTGTGGTCAGCCACGAGGCATATGCTACCAAGGTTCCCAATGGCCGCAATGTCGAAGGCGTTAAAGCGATTGGACACACTAATGTTGACGGCGGTGGGATACGGAACGCATTCGGCAGAGCTTTCTATGATGCAGGCCACGCGTGGACCAAGGAACTTTGCATGGCTGACTCCGATCGGGATGGTCAGACGAATGG